AAAAACTATACTAGAGATTGAACCCAGGAAGCAGTGCTACAATCCCACCCTTTTATAATTTTTGAGGAAAGGGTACTAACTACATTGCCCCAGCCGGCTTTAAATCTGAGATCCTCTTCCCTCATGCTCTTATTAGGTTTACAGACATGTACCAACCCAAGTGCACACACTTTGTCAGTTTTAGGAATTTTAAAGACTTACCACCAGACAATTTCTCCTAAAAAGTCAGCCTACCACTTGCCTTCAAAGTTTTAATCCTATACTTATTACAAAATAGTTCAGGTACGTTCTGATTAATGTCACCAATGAACATATATGAGCCATATATACTTTAAGAGAAAAAAAAGCAAATATGAATATCATGCTTTCCCTCAAGGAGGGTCAACTTACCATGTTTTCTAAAAGGCCTGGAAAACATATACCGGGTTCCCCTCCTCTTGCCCTTTGTGTTAGTCATTTTGGCAAATTACTGAAAGCACAAAGTATAGAAACAACAATAAATGGTTAAGTTTGTTGGCATTTGCCCCTTTAAACCCCTCCAAAATAGACTAAATGTTGCTATTTCAGTGCTAATTTGAAAACACAGTGTTATTTTACCAACTAAGGTCTTTCCCTGAACAGCCTAAGTCATATAACATTAAAACTCAAAGCACAATGGGTATTAGAATTTAAACCAGTATGCTTTCCCTCAGATATAAAAATATACCAAGACCTATATCACATATATTTGCAAAAGCCAGTCAAGAATGCCAAGGGCTGGCCAAATAGCTCAGCGGATTAAATCGCCTGCAAGCAGGCGCAGAGCCCCCGGGGTTCGATCCCTGGGCCTGCCATGTTGGCCTGCGCCATAATCTCAGCTTTTGGGAGACTGTATTCAGGCAGATCACTGCAAGTCAGATCTAGTAGTGAGACCCTGAACACCCTGTAAACCCCTAAAAAAGACCAAAAAAAAAAAAAAAAAAAAGTGAAAGACTTGAAATTGCCTAACTAGATAACTTACTTTGGGGGAAAACAAAACTCAAGCCTTAGATTTTCACTGGGGTGATAAAACCCCTTTTCTTATCAACCCCATTTTCTGAGACAGTGTATTTAATATACCATCTCATATGATAATGTCTCAACCAACTTCATTCTGCTTTCACTATTTACTGGGACACACGCACACACGAAATGGAAAACACCCACTGAGTAAATTTAGTACAGGTTGTCACTTTCTGGGAGTCCTACATTTAAGCTCACATCTCTATCTGTAAAAAGGGGTTGGCATGTTTTTAACAACTACATAGAGCACTCAGCAATTTTGGGCTGGTATATTCTTTTTCAGACAGGGTCTCACTATATAATTCAGGCTGGCCCCAAACTCTTCCTGCCTCTACCTTCCAAAGGATAAATGGTTGTATTACCTAACAATTCACCTCTCTGTAGCAGTGATGATGGCCCTCGAGAGACCTTGGGCACTCAACTGGGACCCCAATGGCAAACTGTGAATACTGCAATTAAGCCGGAATACTGAGATTTTACAGAAACTCATAATTAACATCTTTAGTCTTAAAAAGACAGTATGAATCCAATA